TCTCAGTATCAAGAATCATTGAAGTCCTCATCTACTTCCATCACTGCTCTCGCCGAGTCAGGTAAACCAAACACGTCTTATTTCCTCATCCTCCGAATGGGTTGATTCTGTGCACAGATCATATGACAGGTAATCCTAGTCTCTTTTCATCATATCAGTCACATAATTCCTCGTCTAATGTTACTTTAGGATGTGGTCACTTCTGTGTTCTTAGTCTGGGTCTGTTAGCCCTACTCCATTAATTTCCCTATCCTCTGTATTGAGTCTACACACAGTTCGCTTTTAATTTAATTTCTGTGAGTAAACCACTCGCGCTCTTAAATGTTGCATCTTATTTTTCCCTGATCTTGCCTGTTTCAGGATCTTACGACGAGGCAGATTATTGGTAAAGGCATGAATCTGGAGGGCTTTACATCCTTGACACACAGGTGCCCAGAACCATTGCATGTTCCAGTATTTCGACCCCTTTTGAGGAGCATTGTCGGTTAGGACATCCTTCTTTACCATTGTTAAAGAAATTATGTCCTCAGTTTAATATTATCTTCGTTAGATTGTGAGTCATGTCAATTTGCCAAACACCACCATCTTCTTCAAGTCCAAGAGTCTAAACGGGCTAGTGTCCCTTTTGATTAGTTCTTCAGATGTTTGGGGTCCGTGTTCTTGTGTCTAAACCTGGATTTAAATATTTTGTTACCTTTGTTGATGACACATCTCGTTAACTTGGCTTTATTATAAAAATCGTTATGAGTTGTTTTCTAATTTTGTGCCTTTTGTGCTGAAGTTAAAACTCAATTTAATACTTCGTCCAGACATTAAGAAGCGTAATGCCAAAGAGTATTTCTCGAGTTCTTTTCAATCTTATATGCGCCAGCATGGCATTCTTCCATCAATCCTCTGTGTTACACCATCCCAAAATGGAGTAGCCGAGAGGAAAAATAGGCACCTTCTTGAAACCGCTCGAGCCCTATTATTTCAATGCAAGTTCCTAAACAGTTTTGGCCGCGGCAGTTTCCACGGCCTGTTTTCTAATTAACCGCATGCCTTCCTCTATTTTGAAGTGTCCACTCCTTATAGTGTTCTCTTCCCGTCTAAGTCTTTGTTTCCTATTGCCCTAAAGATATTTGGTAGTACTGTTTTTGTTCGATGTTCGACCCCAAGTAACAAAGTTAGATCCCAAATCTCTAAATGTGTTTTTAGGTTACTCTCTTCTCAGAAGGGATATCGATGTTATTGTCTTGGTCTTAATAAGTATTGGGTGTCACCTGATGTTACTTCTTAGAAAACACCCATTTTTTTCCCACTTCGTCTACCTATACACGTCAGGGGAGGACGATGACTTACTAATCTATACTGTCCACACCTGAGTCTTCCCCACATACTGTTCCTCCCCCGGCATCACCACGTTCCGTCCACTACCTCCAATTCGCATTGTCTATTCTCGTCGCAAGAACCTCTTGTACCAGTCCCTTCGTCGTTAGACCCAGTCCCCAGTGATCCGGATACCTGTTTGTCCTCGTCAAGAGACACTCAGACTTCATGTCCTACCCCAGACTCTTCGTCGTTGTCAAACCTTGAGTGATCATGATATTCCTATTGCTTTTCGGAAAGGTAAACGTCAGTGTACTTATCCTATTCTTTATTTGTTTCTTATGATCACCTATCATCTTCTTCTGTTCTTTTGTGGCTCGTAGACTCTGTCTCCCTTCCTGCAACTGTCCATGAAGCCTTATCTCATCCTGGTTGGCGTGATGCTATGATAGAAGAGATGACGCTTTAGATGTTGGTACTGGACCTTGGTTGACTTACCTACTGGAAAGAAGCCTATTGGATGCAAATGGGTGTTTGCTGTTAAAGTAAATCCTGATGGGTCGTGGCGCGCTTAAGCTCGTCTTGTAGCTAAAGGCTATGCAAACTTATGGAGTGGATTTTCTGACACTTTTTCCCTGTGGCTAAATTGACTTCTGTTCGCTTATTTATCTCTATGGCGCTACTCATTCTTGGCCATTACATCAGTTGGACATAAAAATCTTTTTTCATGGTGACCTTCAGGAAGAAGTTTATTGGAGCAACCACCTGGATTTGTTGCTCAGGGGGAGTATGGGAAAGTTTTTCATCTTCGCAAATCGTTGTATGGTTTGAAACAGAGTCCACGTGCTTGGTTTGGAAAGTTCAGTGAGGTAGTTGCAAAGTTCGGAATGACAAAGAGCAAGTCTGATCTCACTCATTCTTTTACAAACAATCGGCAATTGGCATTATTCTTCTTGTTGTTATGTTGACGACATTATCATCACTGGGAGTGACACTACAGGGATTGCATTACTTAAGTCATTTCTTCACACTCAGTTTCATACAAAGATTTAGGAGTGTGAAGTATTTCTTAGGGGTTGAGGTAACAAGAGCAAGAAAGGCATCTTCCTTTCTCAGAGGAAATATGTACTTGACTTATAACTGAGACAGAAAATTGAGTGCTAAGCCATGTAGTACGCCAATGTTTTCTAATTTGCAACTTACCAAATGGTGAACTTTTGAAGATCTGACAGGTATAGAAGACTGGTTGGAAAGTTGAACTATCTAACAGCACTCGTTCTGATATTGCGTACTCTGTTAGTGTAGTAAGTCAATTCATGTCTTCTCCTATTGTTGATCATTGGGCAGCGTTAGAACATATTCTGTATTATCTGAAAGGAGCTCCAGGACGTGGTATTTTGAACGGAAATCATGGACATAATAATATTGAGGGCTTCTCTGATGCAGATTGGGCGGTTCCAAGATAGATAGGAGATCCACTACGGCTACTGTGTTTTTTTGGTAGAAATTTGTCTCATGGAAAAGTAAGAAGCAAACTGTTGTGTCCCATCTAGTACAGAATCGGATATAGGACTATGGCCCAGTCTGTGTGTGAAGTAATATGGATATATCAGTTTTTGACTGAAGTTGGTCTTATGGCCTCTTTGCCAGCAAATGTGGTGTGATAACCAAGCCGCCTGCATATTCCTTCTAATCCCTGTTTCATGAACAAACTAAGCACATTGAAATTGACTGTCATTTCATTCGTGGAGAAATACGAAAGGTTTAATTTCTACAGGATATGTGAAGACTGGAGAGCAACTAGGAGATGTTTTCACTAAAGCTTTGAATGGGGTTCGGATTGATTATATTTGTAACAAGCTGGGCATGATTAACATCTATGCTCCATCTTGAGGGGGAGTGTTGTAGATTGTTGTAGATAATCGTGCAAAATCTTACAGATATTGCATGATTAAGTGAATAAATCTATAATAGGATATTAGGATTGTAATCAATACATAATAGGAACAAATCTGTAAAATAGGAACTTAGATTTTTTATTTCCTAGATTAGATTATTTATTTCCTAGATTAGTTCTTTATTTTCCTATATATTGATGTATAATTTGTCAATACAATACATAAGAAAATTACAATCAGTTCTCTGTTTGTAACACTACTGATCCAAACTCTCTGATCACTTGGGAAGTAAAAGTAATATCCTAAACTATCTTTAGGATATCCAATGAACCGACCCTTCTAATATTTAACATCCAGCTTATCAGATTTAACTAATTTAACATAAGCTGGACAACCCCAAATCTTCATATAATTCAGACTTGGGCGTTTTCCATACCATATCTCATATGGTGTTTTCTAGAAAATTTTAGATGGGACCCTATTAAGGATGTGCACAACGGTCTGGAGAGCGTACACCTACAGAGACATTGGCAAGTCTGTAAAACTCACCATCGATTGTACCATATCCAATAGGGTATGATTTCTCTTTTCAGATACTCCATTCAGCTGGGGTGTATAGGGAGGAGTCAATTGTGAGATGATCCCATTTTCTTTTAAGAACTCCTGAAACTCCGTACTCAAGTATTCACCCTCACGATCTGATCGTAGTATTTTAATACTCTTTCCAGTTTGATTTTGTACTTCATTCTTGAATTCTCTGAATTTTTCAAAGGATTCAGATTTGTATTTCATTAAATACAAATGCCCATATCATGACATATCATCTGTAAAGGTAATGAAGAATTCAAATCCTCCATTGGCTAAAGTACTGAATGATCCACACACATCTGTATGTATGAGTCCTAATAGTTCTTTAGCTCGCTCTCCTTTACTCTTAAAGGGAGACTTGGTCATCTTTCCTTGGAGACATGATTCACAGGTTGGATAGGGTTCAGAACCCAATGAGTTTATGATCCCATTTTCTCCAAGCTGTACTAATCTTCTCTCTCCTATATGACCCAATCATGATGCCATAGAATTTTAGGATTTGATTCAGATCGAGTTTTTTTTTTATTAGAAATGGTATTGATTGAAGCATAATCATTTAGTTCTAAGATATATAAACCATTTGTATTCACAACTTTACCAACTAAAACATTTCCAAAATGTATTGAACATTCATTTCCATTAAACAGTACATAGTAACCTGCTTTACACAAAGCAGAATAGAAATGATGTTTCTAGTGGCTTTTTCAAAGTACAATTCATTAAATAAATTCAAACCATGCCCTGAAGGTAGTCTTATTGGGTAAGCCCCCATGGCCTCAACTGCAACTCGTGCCCCATTTGCCATCCTCAAAATGATCTCGCCCTTTGTCACCTCAGAACTATTTTGAATTACCTGCAAAGACATACAAACATGAGATGTTGTTGTTGAATCTAATATCCAGGAATGACTATCTGAATTAACACTTAATTCATATTCAATCATAAGACATTGGTTCGTACTTGCTTTTCCTTTGCCTTTCCTCAGACTGTTCAAGTATTGAGGACAGTTCCTCTTCCAGTGTCCATCTTCTCTACAGCGGAAACATTTTCCCTTTGCATTGGCTTTCTCTACCTTCGCCGCTGGCTTCTTGAAGCTCTTATTCTTGGGTCCAACTTTTGGACCTTTCTTTTGTTGCTTTTTGGCCTTTTATTGGCCCTGCTGGTGGAGGCGGCAAAGACATCCTCATATCCTTTCCCTTTCACATTTTACCTATGAAATTCTTGAAGCTCATTTAGCAATTTAGAGAGGTTTCGCTCAATCCTATTGAAATTATAGTTAGTTATAAATGGTTTATAACTTGAAGGAAGGGATTGAAGAATCAAATTCACTTTGAGGCAGTCTAGCATGATCACCCCATATCCATCCAGTCGACCTAATCCATTGATCAGCTTAATAGTATGATCATCTGGAGGTACTCCTTCCCTCAACTTCATGCTAATGAGGGATGCACATAACTCATACTCAACCACTCTTGGATTTTCGCTATAAAACTCTTGTAGAGCTGTGAGGATATCATAAGCATTCGAAACCTTTTCATGCTTAGTTTGAAGTTCTCTATTCATCGAGGCTAGCATGTAATTTCTAGGCCTCCTACTATCCTCTTGCCACTTTTCAAAAGCATTAAGCTCAGATTGTGGAGCATCCGGTCCAATATCAAGTGGAGGAGGTGCTTCCAGGACATAAGCAATCCTTTCGAAATCTAGAACGATTATGAGATTTCTTAGCCAATCCTTAAGGTTGGGTCCGGTTAACATGTTATTATCCATTATCTTTAGGAGAACATTGTTGGCCATTTTTGATTATATATCACAAAGATGAAACTGCAAAGAAAAATAATTTTATTAGTGTCTTGTAATCTTTTTAAACCTTTTATTGCATAATCAAATTAGCTTCCATTATTTTATTTGAGTCCTACGCTCCCTTAAATAGGATCCAGAAATTTTCGTTGGATTAAATTTCTTAGTGGGGAATCAATTTCTTATTAAATTCAATTAACCTCATATAATAGAATTCTTGGTTAATTAAGTCTAATAAGTAGGAAACTATTTTCCTTTTATATCACTATATAAGATTTGATTCATATTTCTTGTCCTAGCTTTGGATATCTCACATAGTAGAATTCTTGGTACCCCAGGCTAGTTAAATCTGAACCATTGTGCTTTCTTAGGATGACATTTTTGTCATGTCCTCACATAATAGAAATCTTGGTCAAGGTGAAAATATCCATCCAAGAACAAGATCAACTTAATTATATGATATAAAGATCATATCCCCCACATAATAGAACTCTTGGGATATTAAAATTTATATTAAAGAATTTAGTTATCCCACAATGGGAGACTTGGATTTAATAATTTTAATTGGAGAGATTTAGGTTTAACCTTAGTTAATTAATTTTTTAACATGCCATGTTTAACTAACTTTCCATACATATCACATATATGCATAAATTTATGCATGTGGGTTGACCATGGGGCTTTTCGAAAATACATCTTAAAGATAAACTATTTACCCTAATCCTATATCTTCGATCGGATCCTCATCTGAATGCTCTTCGGGTTCCTGTCTAGCCGATTCAATTACAAATTGGATTTTAGGCATGCAGGCCCAATTAAAATAAATAAATAAAATTTAATTATTACAAGCCATTTAATAAAAGAATATTACAAACAGTTTTGAATATTTTGAAAACTAAATGGCACTGATGATCAACCCTCTAATCTAATTCACCCATCAAATAAATAAATATTAAATATTCATACCAAATATAATAAACAATTATTTAAAGGCATGAATATAAACAATTATATGTATATATATATTCAGTGGTCACTTTATCATAACTTTGGGGCATGCAACAATTACATATTTTAAGGGAATCATTACACAAACACTTTTGTCATATTCCACCCAAAGATATAATAATGTTTTTATTATTTAATTATTAACATCATTTTAAGACTTTTCAAAAAAGTCATGCACTACATGGATAAATGAGTTTTATTACTTCAAGAGTAATCATTCTATGACACAAGTTACGTTAAATAAAGTAATAATTTTTATGATACATTTATCTTCTCAAAGGTAATCATATCATCTTGCATCATCATATTTTTTTGAAATTATTTAAAAACAAATTATTACATTTAAAAAATATAATAATTTATGCCATGCAATGATGCATTATGTGATAATTTAATCAAATTATATATCATACATTAAAATTACCATCATCATGTATACATAATATCATAATTTATCACATAAATCAACAATCCGTAACTTCATGCCAACATTATTTTCCACCACTAAACACTTGCAACATTTGCATACTCTTCATACAAAATACACTTTAATCAAATTGAAGGATAACACTTTTAGCATGTCAAAGCATAAACAATTTAATCAAAGTCATGAAAATGAACATGCATGATTATTTCTTTAAATAAATCATCATGCAACATTTCCCAAAACGTTATTCATCAAAGCATGAATGAGATGACAAATTTTATGGCAAAAATAGTCATGGCCGAACATGACAAAGAAGAAAGCCATAACAAACACATGCATGTAGTTCTCAATACATCTCATGCAATAACCATCATCCAAGCATACTTTAAATCACATTTTAACACGTCCAATCATATTAGAGCAAGATGAAAAACACATTTTCACAAAGTAAGGAGATGGTCGAATCACATACATGCATCAAACATGCTTATTCCAACTAACAACTCATTCAATACAAAGGCATGCTTATTATCAACATTACTATCATTCAAAACACATGAGAATGACATGAAAAATAAACATTTACCTTTGATCTAGGTGTGGCCGAGACATGCATGTAAAGAGTTGGGATGGAAAACTCATTTTTGAACCAAAGCACTAACATGCAAACTCAACCATGTATGATGAACATGTGAACACATGGAATAACATGACTTTTGCTCAAAACCAACAAGCAAGGACCTTTTAAGCTCTGATACAATTTGAAAGATAACCATGAACAGGTGGCAAAAATGTAGATTGAAAGCATGAAAGGGTTGGATTAATAGGATTCAAATTTTTTTCAAATAAAGCTTGAAAACATTATACCTTCTCTTTTGCTTAAGCTTGATGAAGCCAAGATTCAAAAGGATGAATCCTCCACACTTTAACACCACCTTGAGAGAGTGGCTGAACCCTAAGAGGGAGAGATTGATTTTCTTTTGAGTGAACAAAATGAATCCTTAACCTAAAATGCAACCATTTGCATTTATATCTACATGGGCCATTTTGTAATTAGTTGTTTTTCACTTCTATGCCCCAATAAAATCTTATTTTAAAAGGAGCTAAAGTATTTATTATTTTACCCTTTTAATGATCAATATTATTCAAGGGCCCATGTAAACTAAACTAGTTTACATTAACAACCCACAAGTTTACCGTTTTGCCCTTTAACTATTAAAATGTTATTTTAGTTCATCTCATTTATCTTAATGCTTTAAGATATAATAATTAAATACAATTAATTATTGCTTGACCATTTTAACCCTTAAAATGTCACAAATAATTTTCTATGTAATTATTACCTTAGAAATCTTATCATTACCCTCGGAAGGTGCTAGCCCTCTTCGGATAATCATTTCTCTCTCTTATCTTTCTCTAACTTCTCAAGGCTATTGGTGTAACCATGTAGGTCCACCGTGGATTAGTCGTGAACCGGTTTTGGATGAATTCAGAAACCTATCCAGAGGCCCAACGACTATGGTAAACATCTAGAAATGTGCCATAGTCCCTAAACAACGATGAAGAAATACTTCATCGAACCCATTTTAGATCATGCGTACCATGCAGGTAAAGTCCCTCCATTGATATATCCTGATCGAGTACGGATTCATAGAACGTCAAAATCCTAAACTCGATCTTCTACTGAATAGTTGATCAATATCTCCGGAACTTATCATCACGAACTTGCTTTCGTATGACTGATAATAGACTTTGGCCAGAGATTTTGATTTCTGACATTTATCGATGTTTGTCTAGGAACTTGAATTCAGATGGAGTCAGCGGTACTCCTGATCCTATATTTCCAAGTCAATGGATCCCCTCTTGACCATCATTCGTTTCCGCATATGAACAATGCACGACCAAATAGGCTTTATCATACGAAACATGACTAGTCTCGTACTTATACACCGTATGAACCATACGCATCCGTATCGGATCTGACCACAATGTCTCAGGTCAAAGGACTACATCGTCCACTGATATAACCAAACGATAAATCATTGACTACATTCTTTTCCAAGTGATTTGTCGTTATTCGGTCACGTTCAAAAATAGTTCACCAACCGCTAATCCATACTAATGCCCCAGTGACATGACTATCATCATCATCCATACTTATATCAACTCATGATATCTTTCGGAAGCATCCAGTATGCCTACTATGCAATATAGTTGCCCAAATTATATTGCTTTTGTAGGGAACCCTTTTGATAATTCATTTATCGATTAAATGAATCATCTGGACAATTCATATACATACTTTATTTTAAATGCATGACTAAATAAATGAAGCAATTTATATATATGCATTGAAGAACTCTTTCTTCTGTTATTTATGATATATTGATACAAGACAAAATGCTCTTAAACAAACAACACGAATGGTTTCTAGGGCATACACTAATATACACTAACAAAAACTTCATTTTCAAATGGTAGATAGAGGTGACCGCCTTGAAGTTTCTCAGTAGAGGTCGTCCCAAAATTCCATTGAAGGAGGACAAACAGTCTACTACCAGAAATTCCGTTAGTTTGGTTATTTCGTCGGTTTCTCCCAACATGACCGGGAGTGAGATCATTCCCCTATGAATCAGATGATCCCTGGTAAAACTATAAAGAGGGATGGAGGCAGGCTTCAAGTCTGCCTCATCCAATTACATTTTCTTGAATGCTCACTGAAATAGGATATCCACGGCCCTCCCATTTTCCACCAACATCCTATGGACTTCGCACCAGCATACTTCAGGCGCGATGACGAGAGCATCCTCATGGGGACGATGCAATCACACCACATATTTATCAGAGAAGGTGATCTCCTCCTCTCTGTGAACCTTAGTGGGTCGCGGTCTCATGCTCATTACTCTCACGAGGTCATGGCGGGCTTCCCGAGCATACCTCTCCTGGGCACCTCAAGAATTCTCCGTGAGGTGTGGTCCTCCGAAGATGATTCCCACACAATAGAGTCATTTGTGACCACGATGCTTCTTCCCTGGTTCCTCTTGATCTTTCTCCTGAACGGGAGTTGGGCCATTAACATATTCTTTGAAGTGCCTTTACTTGATGAGGTCTTTGATTGCCTGCTTAAGAGCTCGACACTCATCGGTATGATGTCCATTATCCCTGTGATAGCGACAATACTTTTTATTGTTTCTGGTTAAGGGGGGATTCTTCATGGGCTCTGGCTCTCTGAGCAAGCCGCCCTCCTCATATTTATCCAGAATGGCCGATATCGAGCCGTTCAGAGGAGTGTATTGATTCTTGTCGCGATCGCGACGAGGAACCGGGGCATAAGATTTCTTGGGCTCAAACCGCTGCTTCTTTCCTTTTCGCTGATCGTCATTAGCCTATCTGCGATCAATTCTCCTATTCTCCCCCTAGTTGGAAGCACTGCTCAAGGGACTAGGGTCATGGCGATTGAGAGCGACCACATAATTTTTAATTTGGAGGTATCTTTCGGTGAGGTTGTAGAAGCGAGTGAGAGAAACATCATCCTCTGATTACAGTTCCTTCCACAAATCTATCTGCGGGCGAAATTCTAAGATAATGAGAGTTTGAACGGACTCTTCGGGAGTATGAGCCACTTTGTGGAGTTCCTTGTGGAATTTGTCTATGTAAGATTGGAGGGATTCATCCCTCTCCTGCTGTATGTTACTCAAATAGCTTAACGACATTGAGAACTTTTTGTTCACCTGGAAGTGTCTTAGGAATGACGAGCTCATTTGAGGCCATGAGCTGACTGATCTCGCGGGAAGCGACCTAAACCAGTGCTTGACATGAGCAGTTAGAGTTACTGCCAAGCAATGACATTTTGCCAAGTCGGAGACTTGGTGGAGTTCCATGGGGTCGTTGAACTCGTACAAGTGATCCTGCGGGTCTGAATTCCCATCGAATGCTCGCATGTCAGGCATTCTGAATCTCGATGGGAAAGGAGCAGCTAACACTGCTAGAGAAAAGGGATACGCCTCTGTGACCTTCCCATGCTCATTTTGCTGAGCTTTAAGTTGATCCAACGCTCGCTGTAGTTCCTCAATATGTGGCAGCGGAGCTACCTAAGGATCACTTTTCGCAACGTGGGTTCGACCCTCATGATTGCAGTTGAGGAAAGATCACAAATCGGGCTCTTCCTTGACTCGACCGGAAGCTTTGGCAAACCTTGACACACGCTGGCTGGAGCTGTGTGATGACATTGAGTGGTTTAGGGAATTTTCCTGATCTCCGCAGTGGTCCAAATCGACACGCAGACGACGAGAATTTCCTGCATGACGACGTTCGAGGTCGTCATTTTGGCGATATTGGGAATCTCCCCGCCTTTCACTTTTGTGGGAGTGCCCATGCGACCTGGCATGGGACAACTCATGCTGTGACATGTCGCCGAGTCGCAGTGCCACGGGTATTCTACCTATGACGTAATTGGTGTTTGTTGGTCTCTCAGAGCCCTCTGGTCTGCTGTTTGCCACTTGCTTTCCCTTTCTTTGATGCACTGCAGTACGCGTGGTATGGGCTTTCACCCTTTTCTATGCTTTCACGCGACCTGTAGGCGTTTTTGGCGGTGGCACCGCCTCATTGGATTCTGGTGGCTTGAACCGATCCAAATGGTCTAGCCTTGCACTAACCGTTTGGAGAGTATTATTGAACCTCTTTAGGTAACTCATGATGGCTGGGTCGAGCCGCGAGCTCGAGGGAATATCCGGCACGATACTCTATTGGACTAGTGGCACTTTGGGAGAAGTGTCTTCTTGTACTTGCGGGATTTCCTCATTGTCATAGTTGGTTCACTCAGGTTCAAAACTGCGAACCATTTGCTGATTGGCAGGACTGATTAGTCAGAGATTTCTGATGAAGAGCAGATACTAAATCAGACTCTCCTTCTAGTGCCAAACTGTTGATGCTTGATTTTGACACCAATGACTCGCATGTGCAAAGTGCTAAGCGGACTTAAAAATCACATGTGATAAAGAAAAAATGAAATGATGCAATGAATAAGAAACGATATTTAAAGTGGTTCGGATGCTTAAAAGCGAATCCTACATCCACTGCTATTGTATTAATAGATGGGTAAGATCAGGTCGCGTGTAGAGAGCTGAGTTATAATCTAGAGAGAATACAAAGAGAGAGAGAATGTGTAAGCTATTTTAGACTAAGATTAGCCAATCCCGTAAATAAGAGGGGTGTCCTCTATTTATAGTGGGAGAGTCCAAGGTAATGATTACAAGTTTGCAAGTAGGTAGGTGCCGTGCAAATCCTTCTTTACGTCCCATTGGTGGTCTGCACGAGAAACATCCTCAAATTACGCAGGGCTTGGGCAGGTGGCTAATTCATAACAACTCACAAGCCTGACACTCACCTACTGCACTAACAAGAACCATACCACTTGCGTTACTGCGAGACGTGACAACGCCTGGACGACACAAAACCTTCCTGAACCTTGATTGGCTTTTGCTGACGAGAGTCTACGGTAGCCCTAACTTTTCAAGCATAACACACATAAATTAAAATACATAAAATATGCCTATATTATAATACATGTAAATTTATATGAAAATATTAAATTAATCGAGCTTGTATCGATTTATATAAAGGTCTTAAAAAAATAACCAAAACTTGGGGGGTTTATACTTTATACAAAGTTGATCAAAATCCTAAAGCCTATATCCTTATAACCACCAAAGGACATTTTATTGAAAATACCCTCATATGTAAACCCAATTTTCCTAAATTTTCTGCCATAAAACAAAGGGCTTTGGAGCCGATTTTAATTTTCCAGAAATCAGTAATTTTGTAATTTAATACACAAAACGAGTGAAGATTTAACCACTTAACCGTTATTTTAAAGATTATTGGTAGAAGAATGTGATTGACAATAACGTATTCTTGCCGTTGGAGAGAATAAAAAATTGCAAGATAGGCAAAAATGTTAGTTTTTGATGTTTTCAATACATGTTTATATGAATTTTGAAATGTTAGGGTTTTTATAAAAAATTAGGGTTTGGGTTGATTTTTGTTATGTTGTGTTTATTGGTTGGAGTTATTGGTTACTGGGTTGGTGGTGGTGTGCGTGTTGTTGTGTTTGACGTTAATAAAAGTTCAATAATAATGCTACTCTGACTCTCCCTTCTTTCTCCCTTCTCTTTACTCACTTGCGTGGCAGCTGTTACCCCCATTTGCCACGTATCTTCCCCAAAAATTTTCAAAAAAAAAAAAAAAAATTTCATTCTTCGAATCCATTTTATGTTTTCCCCTAAACCGCTAAATCATTTGAAGAACATCAACAGTCAGGTCTTTGAAGAATGTAGAACACAGTGATAATGAAAAGGCAGAGAAATATTTCGGGAAGCAAGAAATATTCGGGAACCCCACCATTGTATTGTTCATCGAAAGTTTTTGAACCATTCATAACAAGTGACGGTGAACGACTGTTGTGAAGACAAGCACCAATTAGGTGAGTGGCTGATTTACTGCACTATTTTCTTTCTCTTGTTATTTTCTTTATTTCTTGTTGGTTTCAATGGTCATGGCCGCGGCTTTGGTTGTAGAAGCTGTCATGAACGAGACTTTAAATTTTTTGATGTTAAATGTTTGTGTTAATGTTTGGATGAAGGGTAGATGATGTCAAAGGTTTTGTGTATTTTAGTAATGGATTTTGAATACGTGCTAACTGTTTGTGGTAATGCTTATGTTAGTAGGAGACATATCAAGTTTTTGTATTATAGCTATGATATTAATTGATGTTCAGTGAAGAGGAAATGATGTTGGTTTTATGTATTTTATAGTGATGAATTTGGATTTCGATTGTGCATGGGTAGTCCTTGTATAGAATTTCTTGTGTAACTGCATATTTAAGAACTCTCATCTACCATGCTCTATTATGTGTTTATGTCTATTTTCTTGTAACTCTAAGTTGGTTTTAGTTTTTGGTGGGAAGCAAGGTGATTTTGACTGGGTATGATTTATATCTTGTGGTTCTGTACTTCTGTTATGGACTTGCCTTTTTCTCCCCCTTTTATGTGTTTAACATTTGTAACATTTCTTTTTTATTTCCATCATTAACAATAGGTGGTTAAACTCAATGAGAGGTGCTTAATTCCTTGTGCCAATTATCCTGAGTTCTGGATTCGTTATGTGAATTTCATGGAAAGAAAGGGGGAAGAGAAATAGCAGACTTTGCATTGGCGTGACAATGCAATTTTTTTCTGAAGGTATAAATTTTATAAACCACTTTTGGTTTTTTTCGTAATTTTGAAGGAACTTATCTATCTTACCGGTTTAGATTAGTGCAGGTAATGAAGTGATACTGAACTTTTGTTTCAGCAATTTTTGTAGTGCAGTTCTTAGTTTTTCCATTTTTAACGTTTTCTGAAACTATTTGCATATTGACTGTACATTGGTTTAGTTTATATCATGATTTGCCATTTTACAATGTTTTTTGCTAGATGTGCAGGGCTGCTGTTTTATGGACAATTTCCTAGCATTTTTTGTGTGTTTGTGAGGAGAATGTAGATTTGTCTAGAGCTGCTGTTGTTTTGCAAAAAAATTAGTGTTTTGCTTGCTGATTGTATATCTTATGTATATAACAGATCCCTTTTAGGATAAGTTTCACAACGCTTTACATATTTGGTTGTCTGATAAATAAAATATCTTTTGTGTATAACAGTCCCCTTTTTAGGCATACTAATTTGTTCAATTTTTTTCATTTTCTTTTTTTATTTATTCAAAGTAACATTGCCTAAATTCCCCGTCTAGATGCTATATATATTCAATTCAAAAGAATCAAGAAATTATAACTAACAGATTTTTAAAGTGTGGTCTCCGACAATAAAAATTCGAAACTTTGGTGCTATTGTGTAGCATGAATGCATTCCATGTTTGAAGAATAAAGTGAACTTGTGAGCAATTCTTTTTTAGCAGAAATTCTATGCTCAATTTCTCATGGATACAAAACTTCAGCCAAGGAGATATGCAAAATGATATCACCTGACCTTTATACTATATACATCCACAAAAAGGAAGTCCATTACATTTGACATTGTGCCTCTTTCTCAAATCTCTCGGTCAATAAAATTGTGATTTGAGATGAAAATTGCAATCTCAAGATCTTTTTAACTACATTCTCCGTAGAACATTACACTAAGTTTTGATGTTCATTTCTCTTTGTCAGTGATAAGAACCTGAATAATTCACCCACAACCAACTCAATTCACACGGAGAACAAAGCTTAAACACTGAATAATTCACTGATATTTGTATTAATATTCTGCAGTATTTGATATTCCAGAACTAAGAACACTAATGGAAAAATGAAGAAGAACAGAATGAAGAAAAATGAAAAGAAAAGATAACACTAGCACTTCGAGGAGCCAGGGGCCTCCCAATACAACTTTTTGAATTCCCTCATACCCTGTACATCTTTCATTCCCCTCTTATACCCAATTACCCTAACAAACTTATTCTACTAGTCTGTTGCCATATCAAACTATTTTGCTAATCTGGTGCCACGTAGATATTCTTTTTAAGCAACGCCCATGCGGCCTACTAATCCACTTTATTCTTCCTCACGTACACTTTGGTGCTAGGCTGTGTAATTCCCCTGATACCTTCCTTTGAACCTCTTGGGTTGTTTAGTTTCCTATCAATACACCAACTCCCCCAACACCCCCACCCAAAGAGAGCCATCCTTATCCTCAAGGTGGAAGCTAGGATATTGATTAGCAATGACATCATATGGCTCCCACGTAGCTTCAAAAGAAGGAAGATCCCTCCACTGAATTAATACCTCCCGAGAGCCATCTAGAAGAGTCCAAATGGCGAGAACTCAAGCGGTTGTACCATTAACTCTAAGTCCTCAGTCAAGAAGTGTGGGAGAGGTTGGATAGGGACTACTGAGTGTAAACTCTGCTTGAGTTGAGAAACATGGAAAACTGGATGGATTTTGGCAATAGGAGGTAGAGCTAATTTATAAGCAACTTCCCCCATTCGTTGCACAACTTCAAAGGGACCATAGAAACGGGGGCTCAGCTTCTCATTGAATTTCTTGGATAAAGATTTGAATTTATATGGTTGCAGCTTGAGGTAGACAAGGTCACTAGGCTGGAAAACTACGTCCCTACAGTGTGCATTGGCAGTAGACTTCATGCGAGTCTGCGCTGCGTGTAGGTTGTCTTTAAGATCCTCTAAAAGAGCATTGTGTTCGACCATTTGTTGGTTAATATCCTCCACAGCAGATTTGATTTCAGTAAATTTCAGGAGAAGGGGGTCTCGTCCATAAAAAGCCTTAAACAGAGTCATTTTGGTAGTGTTGTGATAAGAGGTATTAAACCAGAACTCAGCCCAAGAGAGCCATTTAGGCCATTGCTTAGGTTTGGAGGAAGTGAAACATCGAAGTTAAGTTTCCAAGCAATGGTTAACCACCTCCGTTTGTCCATCGGGTTGGGGGTGATATGTCGAACTAAACTTAAGGGTAGTCCCTGCCAAACGAAATAATTTAGTCTAGAAATGACTTAGAAATACCCGGTCCCTATAAGAAATGATTGATTTGGGAAACCCATGAAGACGTACGATCTCTTTGATAAAAAGAGTCGCAACCTCTTTAGCATCATAAGGGTGGCATAGCAAAAGAAAATGACTATATTTAGTCAATCTGTCAACAACGACCAATATAGTGTCATACCCACAAGCCTTAAGGAGTCCCCCGATGAAATCCATAGAGACATCATCAAATGCTAAATTCGGAATGGGAAGTGGCTGCAAAAGGCCAACAGGTTTTAAGGTCTGAAGCTTGTTCTGTTGATAGATACCACATGCCAAGACAAACTTTTGAACATCTCGTTTAATGCCTTTCCATAACAGAATTCCAGTAACTATTTTGTAAGTTCAATAGAAACCAAAGTGGCTGCCACTTGGAGTGTCGTGTAACTCATATAGCAACCGGGGAATAAATTTAGAGGTCTTGGGAAGTACTAACCTGCCCTTGTAGAGCAGGCAGCCATTAAGAAGAGAGTAATTCGGTCGAGATGTCGCATGCAGTAACAGATCTTGCACAATCACCTTGAGTTTTGGATCTTGGAAAGCCTCAACAGCCAATTCTTCGTACTCACTAAAGTGTGCTATCGATAAGGCACTCATGGACACAACTGATTCTCGGCGGGACAAGGCATCAGCTACTTTATTGGAGCTGCCAGGTTGGTACTGGATCTCAAAGGAGAATCCTAACAATTTGGAGATCCATTTATGCTGTTCAGGAGTCAGAGGTCGTTGATCTATCAGGAACTTGAGGCTGCGTTGGTCAGTCTTGATAATGAACTTTCGACCAAGCAAATAATGGCTTCATTTGTGAACGGCGAAAACAATCGCCATGAGCTCACGCTCATAAACTAACTTTATCGCCATGAGCTCACGCTCATAAACTAACTTTTGTCGAAATGAGTAGGAGAAAACCTTGCTGAGAAAAGTTACTGGGCGACCTCTTTGTACCAATACATCACTCATTCCTGATCTTGACGCATCAGTGTGAACCTCAAAGGGCAGTGAAAAATCAGGAATGATCAACACCAAAACAGTCACCATGGCGTTCTTGAGAGTGTCAAAGGCCTTTTGTGCTTCCTCACCCATGTGAAAGAAATCTTTCTTGAACAATTGTGTTAATGGGTGGGCTATTTGTCCATAATTTCGAACAAATCTTCTATAGTATCCTGTAAGCCCCAAGAATCCCCATAAGCTCTTCAAGGTGGGAGGAGTTGGCCAAGATAACATGCATTCAATCTTTGTTGAATCTACCTCCACTCCATTCGCTGAGATTAAATGGCCCAAATACTCCAATCTCTCTTGAGCAAATACACATTTGTTTTTATTAAGGACCAACTGGTGCTCCTATATTGTCTGGAAAGCCTGCCTCAAATTCAGAATGTGAGTAATCAAATCAGTGCTATATATCAAAATGTCATAAAAAAAAAAAAAGAATAAATTTAAGGAGGAATGGCTTGAAGATGTCATTCATCAATGCTTGGAATGTGGAGGGAGCATTAGTCAGGCCAAATGGCATAACTAAAAACTCATAATGGCCTTCATGGGTTCGGAAGGCGGTCTTTGGGACATCCTTATCGCGAACCCGAATTTGGTGGTAGCCCGATTTAAGGTCAAGTTTCGAAAATATGGATGTGCCACCTAACTCATCCAATAATTCGTCGATGGTGGGTATCAAAAATTTATCGGGAATGGTTATATCATTCAAAGCCGATAATCGACGTAAAATTGCCAACTTCCTTTCTTTTTAACTAGTAAAACAGGGCTCGAAAAGGGACTTATGCTAGGTTGGATAATACCAGCCACTAGCATCTCACTCACTAATTTCTCTATCTCATTCTTTTGAAAAAACGGGTATCGGTAAGGCTGAATGTTGGGGGGTTGAGCCCCTTCTTTGAGAGTGATGGCATGATCTCTTTTACGATGGGGGGGAAGAGTTCTTGGTTGATCAAAGAGGCTAGAGAATTTGGTCAAAACAGCCTCCACTTCCGGAGGCAGAATTGGGGCTGAAGCACAATCTTGATGAGTAATAGAACATAACTTAATAACATATCCCTCCCCCTGTTGGTGCAGGTGCAGTGACTTTAGCATTGCTTTTAACAAAACCACCATTTCACTAACGAAGGATCCCCCTGTAGGGTCACTGATTTTCCATTAACTTCAAACTTCATTTCAAACTTCATTGTTAGTCTCTTCCAATTAGAACACACATCACCTAATGAACTCAGCCAGGTTATTCCCAAAACTACATCAGCTCTTCCTAAATCAAACGGAAAAAATCTTGACCAATTGTGATGCCCTGAATTTCTAGTTTCACTTCTCTACAAACTCTAGTACTCCTTACCGTATACTGATTCCCTACCATGATGCCAAAAGTCTTAGTATCATCCCTTCCCAGCTGTAACTTATTGACTAAATCTTCAGAGATGAACTTATGGGAAGCCCCACTGTCAACCAATACTATGACTCTCTCCCCTTTAATCAGCATACGAAGCTTCAGCGTGTTCGTCGAAGGTATACCCACAATGGAACTCATAGATAAGGCAATAGGAGTACCTTTGGTATTAGCCTTATCCTCAGGTTTCAGGATGGTTTCTTCCTCCTCAGACTCTTCATTAGCTGTGACATACAAAATTTGAAGTGTTTTGTTATGGCAATGATGATTGGGGCCGAATTTCTCATCGTACTTGAAACACAACCCCCCCTCTCTTTTATACTGCATTTCGGTGTCTGTCAGTCGCCGAAAATTGCCCTCTCGAAGGTTTGTTGGTGAAGATTTTGGTGGTCTTTCTCCTTTTTCAAGGCGAATTTGTCCTCCACTTGCGCGATCTACATTTCCTAGCCCCAGCTGATTCTAAGTGGTTCTAGGTTGGGTGTAACTCAGGTATATGGTTCAAATTTGTTTGGTTCAGCTTTAAAATTCCATTGGTTTGGTTTAGCTTTAAAATTCCATTGGGCTCGACTTGGTTTAAATTTGGATTTTTCCAGGATCCAATTTCTTTCCTCTATTCTATGGGCTTGGTTCATTAATTCAAAAAGGGAGGTGGCCTAGCAATTAGTGTGCCCATCAACAGTTCTTCCCCTACCTCATTCATCGGTGCA